ACAGATTAGATTTCAGCCCCCATGTCCCAGAGTGGCAGAATTTAGCCTAAATGATGTAAAGACTTTAAGAGAACAGTAGATAATGATGACTGACAATTAAGTACACTCTTTCTTAAAGCCTTTTAGGAAAAAAAGAAGGATTCCTGAAAAAAATTCTCATTATCCTTTTGTTTCTCGCTGTCATAATAGCTTTTTTATGTAGGCTTTGTACTAGTGCACCAAAAAAAAAAAAAAGACAACATCTTGGATAAAGAAACCACTGAAATTTACCCGATAAAAGGATTCAAAGGTCATTGTTTGCAGTAGCCTAGCAGAATTTCCATGATGATTTACCAGCTCAGGCAAGAAACTACACCTCCACTCTGCTGGTGATGGAATCATGGATGTTTTTAAAGACCCCTTATGATTTATATAAAATTTTAGTGTTCTTTTGTTCTTTAACTCATTATAATTTCAAGTAATGTGCTAGAATTATGAAAGCTGAATTACTTCACTTTTCTTAAGGAAAGGTTTTTCTTATTCCCCCTACCCCCAACACTTCCTAATTTAGATGTCACTGATGTTTTTAATTATTGTAATTGCTAAAAAGTCCTAAGTGAAACAAATTCTTGTGTATGTTAACTGTTTGTCATTTCTTGCCTGAGGGTAGTTACATTTGTTTCAGACATTCACAGAACTGAGATATTACTGTTTTCTTTTTACCCTTAAATAAGTGAGAGATTTATTTATTTTTCCACAGAACAACAGAGGAATGCTCAGGTCCCTCTCTGCTGTTGCCTTTAGGAATTAGAGTGGCTCTCCTGTTCCTGAGGGATTCAGCATATGCTCAGAGAAATGCTAGTTGTTCTGTACTGCCTGTAAAACAACAGCAGCAACTAAAAAACCCTATCCAATTCAGGGAGTTTGCACTAATCTCTTCAGTGAGCTTGCCTGTTAGGATGTTACAGCACTTGTCCTGAAGTGATGGGAGGGTTTCAAGAAAGCCTGGTAGTTCTGGGAGATTTATTCTTGGGGACAGTGGGGTCTGAGCCCAAACTCCTTGAAATGGATGAAACACCTCTCAGAGAGTTCAGTGGATTTTCATGAAGAAAGTCTTCCAGTATATTTGTGCAGGTTCATCATGACTGTGCCTCTGCATGCTGGTCTTGTGTGAAGTTGCATGCTTATCATGAGAAAAGGCATGGAGAAAGCCATGCTCACACAAACCAGTGGTGCTTGGTTACTGCTGCTCTTTGCTCTTCCTCAATGGATAGACACGATGGCAGCAGCCACCTTTATCCAGGGTTGAACAGGTTGGGAATACCTCATCTGGCCAGCATCATGTCTGCATATGCACAGAGCAGGTCTCTACATCTGCTGCATGGATGTGTGCTTCTCTTCAGAGCTGTGCTTCAAAGTTAGGAAAGTGAGTCAAGAGAGTAATCTAGGTAGCAGATCAGATTACCACAGTTCCTTTCCACGCGCTGTGGCAGCATTGGGTCAATTCCTTCTCCCATTCTCTTCCCTGAAATTTTGTCCATTTGCTGCCAGGGGCACACTTGCCATGACACAGACTGTCACATGGTCTGCCCCACTGGCAGCAAACTTGTTTTTCCCTCTTTATTGCCCCACACCTTTTATTGCTCAGGTGGGTTTATATCATGTGTCAGTTAAAGTTCATGTCGAGTAACTTACATGCTGAGTCTAAGAATGTTAATAGTTTGCTTCTTTCTTCTTACTTTTGGAAAACTCTTGAACATATTGAGGTATATAAAATAGCATCAGTGATGTCAAGAGCATCTGATTCAGGCAATCCTGAATGCAGATACAATACAGAGATACCTGAGTTTCCCCTGGGAATCTACAAGAAGTGAGGTCTTGGAGAAATGCAGGCAGAGCAAAAAAATCAAGGAAGACTGAGCAGGAATCTAGAAGAAACAGAGAGGTAGAGGAAGGAGGGAGATCAGGCTGCAAGTACAGATGGGCAGTGGTAGAAGCCCCCTTTGCCATTGCAGCATAAGGCAGTGATTTGAAAAGCACATAATGCCATTGCTAACAAAGAAGAAGAGATCTTGCTTTAGAAATAGAAGTGAGAATGATTCCTCCTACAGCAAGCACACAAAGTTTTCATCTTCCCACTCACACCACTGCTCTACCAGCATGCAGCCCTGCTTGCATCCTGGCAATTTGTACCCTGGGTTAACTGAGCGGGGAGACTAGAAATTGAGGTAGAAGAAAGCGAAACTGCTGAACCCCTGCTGATGGCATCACTCCCTGCAGGATGGGTCTGAAGGCAATCCTTTCCCTCCCAGCCTGAGCCTTCTGCTTTCCCTGCCTTGAGAGGGAGGAGAGATTTGTTAAGAGATTATTTAAAATTAAATAAGGTAAATAAAAATTGTCAGTGTCTAGTTATTGGATGAGTAACTTAAACATACTTATCCAAGGCAGCTGTAACCTAAGCAGCCAAAGTCCACTTGAGCTAGGACTGAATTTGGCCCATTGTCTCTCCTTCACGCCCACAGTACAAATAAAACCTTCAGCTTCTTAGTGTTAGGTGGGAGGGAGGAGGCAGGAGAGCCACTGGAGTGTGATGTTGCATTGACAGTTGATGTGCATTCGTTGAGAATCTGTGCTTCTCGTTACTGATGCGTATAGCAGTATGACAAGCCATTGGGAAACAGGATGCAGTTTGTTAGGAGTGGAATGTTATTATGTGTATGGGGTCTTTATGGCAGAGTTACGGAGCACCGTTGGCTTCTGATGAAGGGATGGGGAAAAAGCAGTGTTGTTCTGAAAACTGGTCTGGAATCTTAAAAAACTAAATCTTTGGCAGGAGCTAGATTCAAAGAGGTCATTTTTCTCCATAAGGATGTTTTTTTCAACTACTGTTTAAGTAACTTGGGGGCTCTGTTCTTCTGAAACAGAAACAGCAGAGTAGACTGAAGAGCTTCTGCTCTCAGTGAAATCTGACAAACTATAAAAAAATAATTTCTTTGCTTCTTGAAAAACAGTATTTACATTGCACTTTCCTCCAGCAGGAGGCTATGGACATGTTTAAGTGGTGTACAAGAGTCTCTCTCATCCTCACAGAGCAGCAGCTGGGTCTGCAATAGACACAAGTCATTGTTCAACACTGCAAGGCTGCAGTTTGGAACAGTTTAAAGCAAATTATAAGAAATATGAAATCCAAATAATATAGCATATGAACCTGCAGAAGTTAGTTATGAAATTGGAGTTTAGAGCAAGAAACATCCATGGGGTTTTAATAGGTGCAGGTGAGTCTTCATGATTGTCAAACATCCAGGGTTTTCTCTGGATGCTTCCTCTCACTGGTATAGTATGTTTGCAAAAGTATCATTGCTGCATGGGGCACATATCTGGCTAAGAGTGACTTAATTTCATCTTGAACTCCATTAAAAACCAAAGTTAAATAGGTAGAAGCAATCTCATTTCAGAGTAAGTATGCTCATATTACAGTTATGCTTTGAATTAAACTGACATAAACTTAAAACTTTCTTGCGAAGGCAAATCCTTTAAAAAAATCCCTTTTGTCTGTGGGTTCATATATCCTCTTGATACATTCTAAGATAACTGCAGATTTTTGCCTTCACATAGTGACCAGTGTTGCTGGAGGGTACTTTATAAGAAATGTGGTGTAAGTTAGTAAGTTTGGGAGAAGCATGGGCAGGTCAGAGAGTAATCTGAAGAGCAACATTTTGCCTGTGTATCATTGCCTGCAATTTCGCATTTTCTGTTTCTCACTCAGAGTGTAGAAGACAATAAAAATTAGGTATCCTAAGCACCTAAATCTTCAAGTCAATATCCATGCTAGAGAAGACACAGTTGTTTTGAATGTGTATTTTTCAGCTGATGAGCAAGTACCTAAACTTATTTTCAGTGATGTTAATGCCACCCATTGATTTTGGTGATTTCCAGTTGGGCAGTTGATAAGCACTTCTGTAAATGCAGCCAAACCCCCCCAGCTGCACTTGACCCCAACAAAACCCGCTCAGCACTAAACTGTCATGCCGTAAATATTGTGCAGCTCCATTTTTCTTCTCCAGCAGGGTGTTGTGTTCTAGTGATAGGAGAGCTGAGCCTTCTCTCATTGTTTGTAAAGCACTTTGGGATCCCTCCAAGTGTAACATGAACACTGGTGGACTGTGGTTCTCTCCCACCTAGCTTTCAGTTCCAGACCATGAGACTTTTTCACTTTCTCCTTATTTTTATTTTTTTTCTTTTTCCTGCCTTTGTGACAGAACGCTCAGCTGCTCTTTGTGAGCAGCTGTTCTGTTTCCCTGTCTGCCTGCAGCGGTACCCAGCTGCAGCCAAAGATTTCCAGAGCAATCCCCAGCTTTGTTAAAAAGTAACAGGATTGGGAAAGAGGGAAGGGAGTAGGAAAATTCAAGACCTGGAGTAGATTCTGCAGCACACTGTCAATGGGTGCTGAGTGACCTGGGAGAACTCCCTGTCCAACTAGAGATGCACATTCTATGCATGTGTCATGTAAGATTTACCTGCTGACTCGTTAAAAGCTGTTAAGTGTGAGGTGATGCTGAAGTTCCCTGGGAAAGGGAAGTGTTGCTGACAGTGACAAGCAGCTTATGTGCATGTCTCATGGAAACTTAAATGTGCGTATGTGTGCATGTGTGTGCTCGTTCAGCATCTGCTGTCCACATACTGTGTGACTCACACACAGAGGGTGAGGTGTGGCTAAGAACAGGCCTGTGACGTGCAGTCTGACTTTTTTTTTTTTTTTTTTTTTTTTTTTTTTTTTTTTTTTTTTTTCTCCTTATACGCAGCTTTCTTGTGCATGGCAGGGCGTTATCTTTGTTTGTCCGTTCTTGGGTTTGTGTGCATATTTTTCCAACAATGATGATAGTGTTTGCTTTGTGGTTCCACCTTTGAGCACTTACACATTAGTGAGGAACAATTCAATGTGCATGAAGCTATGTAATACATTTGTGCCATGTCAGGATTTCAGCTTTTGCCCAACTTAAGATTTTTTTTTTCTTTTCCAGAAAAAGGCATGGCATACAATTAAAACCATGGTTAACTTACCAGTCATCAGCCCCTTCAAGAAACGCTACTCATGGGTGCAGCTGGCTGGGCATACAGGTGAGAGAGGTATCTTAAATGTGTTTGCCTCGGGAGTGAGGATGACTGCAGCAAGGAGAGCACTCTTTCTGTGTTTCCTTCCTTCCTTCAGGTAAAAAGGAAGCAGGCAATATCACACAAATCTGTGACCTAAGATGTGTTTTAGTTGTGGTGTGGATAGGGAAGTGGGAGTGATATACCTGAATAATGAGATGAGCAGGGAAGCAATGGTCAGACTCTGGAGAAGGGCCAGGCTTGTAAGGTGATATGTGTAAAATACTTGTTAGAGGGAAATGAGAGACTGGGGAGCTAAAGCCCTAATCTGTCTGATGCTGTTGGTTGCAGCATGGGGTCATTTCTCCTGACTGACTAGCCGGTAGTTAGTTCTCTAGGGGGAAGGATTACTGTCCATTATATATTACATATACTGTATAAATATACTGTTCTGTATATGCTTCAGCCCTGGAAAGGACAGTGTTTCTAATACCACTCCAAACCCCTCATCTGCATGTAGGTTCTTGGATGGAAAACAAATGGGCAAATTGCCTTTCTGACCAGGTGTTTGCATTGTGAGTCTGTCATTGTTCACTGTACGAGTACAAGGAGTAGCTTGGTTCTAGTTTTGTGTCTGTAAAAATTGGTAGGTGTGCTCCTGATGTAGGCTTAGTTTCATTCGTAAGGCAAAAAAAAAAACAATGAAGAGAAGTCATCAGGTTTGTGTCTCTCGTGCTTCATATAATTCCTGTGTAGTGCTAGTGGGGCTTTATTAGTACACATGTGGGCAGGCACCTACGCTGCATCGTGCTGTAATGCAGTATGTGAACCACCTCTGTGTATGCCCTGTTATGGTGCACTTCAAAGCTGTGCTGAGAAATTTACTGAGCCCTTGAAACTGAGTAGCTGCATTTTGCACAGTGTTATTGTTGGGTCTGATTTATATCACATGAAGTGCCAAGACAACCCAGTCTTAATGCTGTTTTTGTCACAGATGTGAGTTGGCTTCATCTGTGTGGAGTGATGCATTGGTCGTGTCATCATAACCCTTCTGGAGACTCATATGGTAGGGTGGAAGAGGAGGCTTAAGAGTTTACTAGAAGCTGATTAGGAGAGATACTGTTCCAGTTTCCTTTCAGCAGTGTTCTGTGGTTGGGTTTACTCCATCCTTTCTGCAGCTGTTCTTCTCTGATATGAGGGTTTTTTCTGAACTAGAACCTGTTACCAGCCTTGCCCTTTTGACGAGGCAATGCCTGTTCTAGGATTTGTCAGAGAAGAACCAGTTTGCAATGGCCGAAGGAACCCACTGTGGCAGAGGTTGAGTGTTATCCCCAGGATTAATGAGGCTCCTATTTTGGTGCCCAGTTTATTTTGTGTAGATTAAATGGTGCCTCTGAATGAAACATGTCAGATGCTGTCAGCAGGTTGCAGGACAGGAGAGTGTTTGGAAACTCCGGACAGGTGGAGGCTGATTACTGCTAATTGTGGCCTCTGCAGATGTCGTTTGTCCTGGATGCCATTCAGACACAGGGCTGTAAAAAGCACACTTGCCCTCCAGACTGTACCTGCAGGGCTTTAGCAGATTAGCAGGTTTCCAGAGGAGAGGCAGTACCTGCAGGCAGACGCAGGCACAGTCACAGCATGTGTGTCTGTGTGGAAAGGGCAGTGCTTGGCTTCTGGCTGGTTCTGGCTGTTTATCTCTCACTGATTGACTGCGCTGCCTCCGTCCGGGCACGCTCAGCAGGTGTATCACCCTGTGTGCGGATTAGGGACAAAGCCAGCACTGCCAGTGTTATGCAGCTTTAAAATAGCCTGTCAGAGGATTAATGAATTCTGGCTTGTGCCTTCTCCCTGTGCATTTTAGTAAGTATAGTATTGTTTAATAACCTTGCAAAGACTAGCATGGAAAAAAACCCAAACAGACCAATGGCCTGAAGCACTGCACTCCTTAAAGCTGTAAATTCTGACATGGGAATGTATCCTAACTGATCTCGCTGCTAACAACTACTTGTCCTGTGTGTTTTATTTTTTATGAAAAATGTCTTATCTCTTCAGGGGAAATCTCTAACTGCTGCCATGAAACTGAGATAGATGAAACTGGAATGGTGGGGGAAGGGGTTTTTCTTTTTTGCTTGTCAATCTTGTCAGCAAGTGTTTGATTTTCTTTTTGTAGGGAGTTTCAAGGCAGCTGATAGTGGGAAGATTCTCAAACGCTTGTCAGAGAATGAAAAGGAGTGTTTTGAGCGATTGATGAAAGACCCACTACGCTCCTGTGTCCCTTGCTTCCATGGTGTGGTGGAAAGAGATGGCGAGAGCTACATCCAGCTGGATGACTTGCTTACTGATTTTGAAGGACCAAGTGTGATGGACTGCAAGATGGGGATCAGGTGGGGTGAATGAAAGAGAATGTGCTTTCTCTGCATTTGAAGGAAGGGGGAGATGTGGTCATGCTCACAGTCACCTTTGACAGCCTGAGGACAATATGTCCCATTACTACCAGTTTGTACATGGATTCTGGAAACTAACTGATCTATAGCCTCAAAAACTATCCACATACAGAAGTTTTCAGGGGTGATTTAAGATGAAGTTTCTCTGCAGTGGCCTGATAATACATGGGAAAAAATGGCATGATTTATTCACTGCCAGTTCATTGAATCTTTGTGTATGCAGTGATTCAGAAAGCCTCACAAAGTAAAATTTCCACCTCCCAATGCAGATAACTGAATAGCAGTGTGAAAGCCCATTTCCAGTGCTTGAGTGAGTCTTTGCTGGTATTGATCTTTTCTTTAAAGAGTTGACCATTTGCTCAGGACTGACCTATGTTTTTCCCTACTCTGACATCTTGAGGTGTAGCCATCTCTTTCTTCTCCCGTTTCTCACTTTCTTTTCCATTCATTGTCTGTGATTAAGACAAAAACATCAGAAATATTATCTAAGCATAACAAAGAGATAGGGATTTGTTGAGATCCTGGAGTAAGGTAACAGCACAGAGAAGTATGAGCTGTCATAGTAATCTTTTGGGTGTCAGCTGAGATGCTCAAGAGTTATTGTCATAAATTAGTCTACTTACTTTTGGAGTACAGATACACCTTTACAAATAGATGCAAAATGTTTAATTAATTAGAAAGATGTAACACTGCTATGTTCAGAAGAAAAAGGAGAAGGATTTGCAACAGTACACTTTTTGTTGAAAGCAGGTGGTAGTAAGTGACATCATCTCCTAAATGCCATCCTGGTTTATTGTGCTGTGATGAAGAAAGTAATCTCCAGGCACTTGACAAAGTGAAAGCTTTAGGAATCCAGTGGAATGTAGAGAACATGGATAGTGCCTTTCTAATGGCTACCAGATTAACAGAGTGATAAGATCAAAATGTGGAAATTTTGTGTCCCTTCACCTTCCTATTTTTAGTTGCCTCTTCTGGTTTGGAACTACTCTGATAATCTGCTTTACTCTTTAGTTTTTTCTGCATGAAGAGTGATTCTGTCTTTCACTGAGATGCGTTAAGTAAAACTTTGAGGCCTAAAAAAATTACCCATGATTGATGTTAAATTTTTTGAGAAGAGAGAATGCAGTAAGTCTTCAATAACCGTATTTGGTTTTTTGATTTCATTATAAGTGATCTCTTCTAACTGTCCTCTGAAAATGCAGTTCTATTTTATGGCACAGTGGGAATTCAGATTCCTCCTATTCTGCAACCAGGAAAAAGACATAACTTGTAACAGTAAGTAGAAGTATAGTTAGAACAAGAAGTGAATTCCTGGGGCCGTTTCACTAAATATGCCTGCACAGTCATTGCTCTGTGTACTTTGGTTTCCCCATATGCAAACTGGGGCAATGATAAGGCTTACTTTCCTGGTTGATGTTTCTTGAAGCCAGTTTGTAAGCTGGAAAAAGACTTAAGGACTTAAGGACTTGGAGGAAGTCCTTAAGAGGATGTGTTGGGATGTGATGTTTGCAGAACATACCTGGAGGAAGAGTTGACTAAGGCCCGAGAGAAACCAAAGCTGCGTAAGGACATGTACAAGAAAATGATTGAAGTGGATCCTCTTGCTCCCACTGCTGAAGAGAATGCCCAGCATGCTGTCACCAAACCCCGGTACATGCAATGGAGAGAAACCATCAGCTCTAGTGCTAACCTGGGCTTCAGAATTGAAGGAATTAAGGTAATTGTTTCGCCTCTGCCTGTTCTTGGAGATTGAACTTTGATGTGTTGATTAATCAAAACGCTTGTGCACATCAGTAGCCAGCTTTTCCAAAGGATAATGTGAAAATGCACTAACTGAAACCACAGAGTTCATTCTATGGTGGTTTTAAAGCATTCATTGTAATTGTAACAGAGAGTGTCAATGAATTTAAGCTTCAAATACACATCAGCCATACTTGAGTTAACAACAGAGACCTTGCAGAAGACTCAAGGAGGTATGCAGTGCAGATAGAATGAAAACGAGACTGTTGTAATACAGAAGTATTAACTCCCTCTCTACATACAATTACTTTTTAAATCCAGGAGCTATACATATTTGTTCCAAGTGAATCACAGTAAATTGGTTTTGTTGCAGTTACGGTTATTGGCAATGCATGTTAAAAGCATTTGCTTAGATACTCTTGGGATCAAGGAAACCACTTTTCCTTTTAAATACATGATGAGATCCAGTAGAGATGGAGTTGGAATAAAGCCAGAACAATCCAGAATGAAATTTCTCCATCAGCCAAGTCCATCTGCTATTTTTGATGGATAAGTCTGTGCTCCTGTACCATTCCTAGGATATTACCTTATAGCCACAGTAGAACCGTGGCAATTTTCTTTCCTACCTGTTACTTACTTATCATTTCTAGACTCATAGAATGATCTGGGTTGGAATGGACCTTAAAGGTCATGTAGTTTCCAGTCCCTGTGCTGTGGGCAGAGACACTTTCCACTAGCCCAGGTTGCTCAGAGCTCCACCCAACCTGGTCTTGAACAATTCCAGGGATGGGGGATGCATAATTTCTCAGGGTAACCTGTTCCAGTGCCTCACCCCACTTGCAGTGAAGAATCTTTTTCTAATGTTTCTAATCTGTTTTAAACCTACTCCCACTTTTAAAGGATCCTTTGTCCTGTCACTGCCTGTTATGGTAAAAAAAAACAAACCTCTCCATCTTTCCTGTAAGCTCCCTTCAGGTACTGGAAAACCACAGTTATGTCGCTCCAAATCCTTTTCCAGACTGAAAAAAAACCAGTTTGCTCAGTCTTTCCTCATAGGGGTTTTCCATCCCTTTTATCAGCTTGGTGCCCTCCTCTGGACTTGCTCCAACAGGTTCATGTCCATCCTATGCTGGGGACCCCAGAGCTGGATGCAGCACTGCAGGTGGGTCCCATGAGAGAGGAAGAGAGGGGCAGAATCCCCCCCCTTGCCCTGCTGGTCATGCTGCTTTGGATACAGCCCAGGACACAGCTGGCTTTATGAACAGATCTCTTGATCTTATTCATCCCCCAGCTTGGATTGGTACTGGGGGCTGCCCTGACCCAGGTGCAGCACCTTGCACTTAAACTGCATGGGGTTCCCATGGGCTTACCTCAAGCCTGCCTGTGTCCCTCTGGATGGCATCCCATCCTTGAGGTGTGTCAACTGCACCACTCCAAAACCTGGATTAGTTTTGTTTCCATTTCACGATTCAAGCACTTAGAAATAAGGTATAAAGATAGTGATGCTGATGAACAGAGACTCTTGAAATACCTCTTTCTTCTATCCTTCTCTTTGTGTCTTCTCCCTTCCTTATTTACAGGTTCTCCTGCTGTGATACAGGAACTGGGGCTTCCAGCTCATGCAGTGCTGGCCCCCTGTGTGCTGTGCCACCCACTCCTGACTGTTAAACACAGGCATCCTCATGCAGGAACTCAGTGGTAGATGAGTAGATGATCTGGCTTCAGTCCAGCTAAAACAGGGGATCCTGTCTTGCCCTTTAGCCAACTAATGATGTTATCAAGATGCCTGTATTATTCCTATACAACGTAGATCTTTGTATGTTCCTCTGTGTAATGGAATCAGGAACCCAGATGATCTTGAGGCCTTTCATGTATGTTCTTGGAGAGATAGTTGGTGAGTGAAGATGTACTTATTTGAGTCCCAGAGAGTTACTGAGCTAAGGGAGAACAGGGGAGCTTCAGAAAAACCTCCTGGCTTGTTCTTTGTGGATTTGTTGGTTGCCAGAGGTAGGAGCTGTATGACACAGACTGTGTAGTGTTTCCCTCTGTGGAGACACTGCATGAATACTTAATCCTTGACTAAGTACAGGAAGTACTTTGGACCACATTCCCTTTATCTCCCTGTGCTGTTATGAGGAATGTAGGGATCATTTAAAAATTTTTTTAGATGGAGAAAAGGTAGCAGAAACTGAATTTTTCAGGCAATACGGGTAGTCAGTACTCCCTTCACTGTTCCACTGAAAGGAACTGTACATCCAGTTCTGTATTTTTGCAGAAAAGCAAAACCATTCAGCAGGGAACCCCATTTTGGTAGGAAAGCCTGTAAGAGTCAGTGGTGCCAGCTAGTGGTTGGTGGGAGTAAGGGGATGTTCTCCCTGACTGGACTGATAACTCCTGATAAGGTATGTTGGGTTTGGTCATCTCTGCCCTGTGGCTGCTTGAATAAGAAGCAAAAGCAAAGAAAATGAAATTATATAGGCCCTTCTGTGAACTGGCTCCTGATAAATGAGATCTGATTCACCATATGCACTCCTGCAGTAGTGGGGTACCTTTTCTCTTTTGGGTTGATCCATTTCTTTTCTTTGCCTTGCTTCTGGATCTCTGAAATCAAGTCAATTTTGTCACTTTTCCTCCTATCAAAAATGTTTTGAACCATTTGGTTTCTCTACAGTTGCATGGTATCTTGCACCTGCCTGATTCCAAATGCACATTTCCTCTCTGGCAGAGGCTCTCTGAAGGCCAGGCATCACAAAATTTTTCTCTACAATACTAAGCTAATGCCTGGGGCTGGGAATTGGGATTTCTGTCTTCCCATTCTGCTTGGGATTTCTGTCTTCCCATTCTGCCAGTGAATGTCTGTGCAGTTTGAAAAGTTACTTCATCCTTTGGTACCATTCCTTTAGTGTACATCCCAGGAGGACATGGGATTTGATTCATAAATCTTTGTGAATCCATTAGGTTAACCCAGAGCCCTTTAAGGGAAGTGTGCAGAGGGCTCTGAGCAGGACCCCATGGTTTAAGATGGGTAGCATTATTTTATGGAGCTGTGACACCTGCCCTCGGGTGAGCCATGTCACTGTCACATCTAACAAGAAGTGTTGTACCTGGCCCACGAGCTGCACTGTGTGAAAGACTGCACTGCTGTGCAGGAGTGTATGTGGAGTCCTTAGCAAAGGTATTACTTCAAGGAGTGAGTCAGGCAAGTGCCTCCTGAGGGTCAAGTACGTCCAGAGCTGTTGCAGGGCCCTGTTTTAGAGTACTGGGGTGGTGCAATTCAAACTCTGGATGTTGTTTACAGCAAGTAAAGACAGGCAGTAATTATGTTTCCTGCCAACCACTGGAAAGGAGCAAAATCATAAAAGTGTTTCTCAGACACAGGCAAGCAAGCAACAAGTTTGTCCCAACACTAAAAGTTAGAAAGGGAACACCGATCAACTATTGCAGACATTGCTCTACAATCTGCAGCACAGGGAGAAATTTTTAAAACAACCTTACTCCAGTGAAGAGGTATGAGATGAAGTTCCAAATTTCTATGTGCTGCTGAGTATTATCACACATCAGATCAGATGGCTTCTAACTTTCAGTGCCTGCCTGCTGAACTGCTCTGGCATAACTTGCCCCTCTCAGGCTGACACGCTGCACTTGTATCTGTCCAACAGCTTTGGAATAAAATTCTCATGCATGAGAAATCTGGAGTTTTAGCATTATTGGTTTGGTTTTTTTTTCATGTATACATCAGAAACTAAGTTCAGGTGTAGAATAAATAGTGTTTCACCTGCTGAGACTAGACTTGAATTTGTCATTTTGGTGCAGTGACTTAACATGTGGGAGACAACGTATTTTATTGACCCGCTGATGTACTCACAATGAAAATGAGGGATTGGACTGATACAATAGAGAGGAAAACAGTTCAATAATCCTGAAGGCTTTTAGTGGATTTTTATTACTAGCTGTAATAATTGCTGTATTTTACATGCATATCCTAAAATCTCCTATTTGTGTCTCTTGAAGCAATAGGGATGCTCTTGGAGACATGCATATTCATATATTCTATGTTTACAGATACCTCCAATTCATGCAATGCTCTTAGTTACTTGTAGTTCCAGAAGCACATAAAAATACTCATTTTTTTCAGTAGCAGGATGCTTCTGTACTGAATCTTACAGCTAACATAAAAATACTCTGAATTTCTCCAGGGCACACTTGGAACAAGCATGCCTGCACTGTTCTTTGCCAAAATTCACTGCTTTGTCACTGCTAGCATTGCTAATCCCAGGTTGTTCCTGTCTGCAACAGATTTCTGTTCTGCGACTTAGGGGTCACATTACATGTTTAAAAGTAATTTGGAACTGAATCCTAACTGTGATTCTTTGGTTTCCCACTGAAAAACAGAAACAACAACAAAAACCAGCAACAACAACAGAAACCCCAAATAACAACAAAAAAATCCTCACCAAAACCCAAAAGAAACCCCCAGACTAAAAGGACTGGTAAAATTTGGTTTGGAAATGTTCCCTCACGCCCTCAGCCAGGGTTTCACTAACCAGAGAGGAGTACAACCAAAGAGGTCTCTGTGGTTTGCACCACTGAACTTCGCACTGCTAGCACTGATGTGAGAAAACCCTCCTGGTAAGCTGGTAATATCATGAGTTGTTTCTTTTATTTTTCACTTGTACTCAACAGGAAATGAACTGCCAGTGCCATTTAAAGCTATCCAATCAGCTTTTGTATATCTTCTCTTCTTCTTGCTTGGTTTATCTGTTCTCTTCCTGTTCAGCTACTTTCATCTGGTCAGCAAGGGCTGAGCTGTTGCTGGTTCAGGAGGATTGAGTGATGAGGGGAATGATATGTGTACAGTATAAATAATCTCTCTCTGTGTGCGGTTTTGTGCAGAAGGCAGATGGAACATGTAACACAAACTTCAAAACTACGAAGACACAGGAGCAAGTTCTACAGGTTTTTGTGGAATTCATTGAGGGCAACACAACCATTCTGGTGAGTCTGAGCTCTTCAGGTGCACTGATCTTGGACCAATTGATCTTGGAAGCTCTTGCTTCAGGGCCATACTTTCTTTGGTACAGGAAATAGAAATTAGAATACCAAGTGGTTTTGACTTCCAGTTGCTCTCAGGAAATGGGGTGGGCATGGGGACTTGGTGGGTTGTGAGAAGTTGACTGAGAGCAGTTTTGTCAGCTCTTGCCATGAGTTGACCCCAAATGCCTTATGCTATCAAAATGTCATTCAAACTAATTTATGGCTTGCCATCAGCTTCAACCATGGGTGTTAGATGCATTAGATGGGTGATATCTAAGAAAGGACTGTGTTGGCAGGAAAACCTGTGATTTGGTAATTCAGTCTGGAGAGGATAAAACCAGAGTGTGGAGGCAGGAAGTGAGATTGGTGACTAGCTGTGCTCCCATGTGTGAAACTCATCTCAAAGAGGAATTCCTGTGCTCTAATTCATGGGTAGCACAGCAGGCATGTGGTAGATGGCATACCACATCTCTTGGCTTTGGAACTTCAAAGGAAGCTGTAATGTTTTGCTGCAGTATGGAAGACATTATGAAGGCAGATTAGCCCTTCAGGAGGAGCATGCTTGGTAGCTCAGGGCAGCATTTAAAATCTGCACTAGAGCTTTATACATTAGGCCTTGATTCTTTTCATCCTCCCTCAGCCCCCACCATGGTTGGAGCTCCTTGTTTCTCTAACACAATTTCTTTCTTTTCACTTTGGTGAGCTGGAAGATTTTTAATTCCTTGAAAACTTTTTTCTCTTTATTAAAAAGGAAAAAAAAGAAACTGCAGAAAGCCTCATGAGATCCAAATCAAGACAGATAAATATGCTTTGTGTAACACATGCAGCAGATGAACTCCAGTCTGTTAATTCACTTGAAATGTATTTTCAGATTGACTTTCAAATGATGAACCTGCTGTTTTGAAGGACCTCTAAACTAAAATGAATATAGTCTTCTAATTATATTGACCCTTGTAAACAGATTATCTTCATTCAGTTTTCAATGAAATGTTGTTTTGGGGTTTTTTTCTCTTCTTCCTCCAGAAAAAATACCTCAAACGTCTGCAGGAAATTAATGTCATTCTTGAATCCTCAGACTTCTTCAAGCGACATGAGGTGAGCAGTGAGTGTAAAGCTGTGGAGGTGCAGTGCTTCTTCATTTGGTCATTCAGGTGTACTTCAGAACAGCTTGCTGTAGGAGTACAAGGGGTTTTGTAGAAGAAAGCTAATACATGTTGACAACACAGATACCACAAAGCCTCCACCACAATGATGCAGGAGATTAAACTAGTTGAGGAATAATAAATCCTCCTGTCCTTACGACATCCCAGCACTTACAGCTCTGGGCCTATATGGAATAGTTTATTTAGTACCAGTTTCCTATGATTTCTCTAACCTGGATGTACTCCAGTGGGAATATTTGCAGGGTAATGGTAACATGGAAGTTTGCATTTGGTACAGTAGCAGTACAGTAACATTAAATTGTAGTTTGACAATGAAGGCTGTATTACTTATAATGGATTTATGTTGAAATACCATTTAATTCTGCTGTCTCTGCATTCTCTCTGTTCTTTGCTGTGCAGAAGGCATCATTAGCATTGTAACTTCTGCTTCTTAACAGCTCAAGATCTTGAGATTAGACATTTTATTTTAACTTGTTGATGTTCTCTTATCAGTAGAGATATTTTTGTTAATCATGGGTCATGATCTGTTTTGGAAAGAAGTTACTGGCCTTTGCTGAATTGCTCAAATTGAGACCTGATGCTAAGTAAGATGAAGAATTGCTTTTCTTCTTGTTTTCTGCTGAGTCCCATTTCTTATCTACCCTCCCATTTGTACCTTACTTGTTGATATGATTATGCAAATGGGGCATCTAAATCAGCAATGTTTAAGTGCAGCCCAAAAGTCTATTGGGTCACAGGTGAGCTGAGGAGATGATCTTCTTAGCAGGAAGTGTTAATTGGTGGGGGAGGGCTGAAGATGTATTTTTAACTACATTGTCTCAATCTGTCTTCCAGGTCGTAGGAAGTTCACTACTTTTTGTACATGATGGCAGTGGGAATGCCAATGTGTGGCTGATCGATTTTGGAAAGACCACTCTTCTTCCTGATGGGCAGACACTGGATCACAGGATCCCCTGGCAAGAAGGCAACAGGGAGGATGGGTACTTGTTGGGATTGGACAATTTGATTGGCATCTTGGAAAGCATCACTGAAAGATGAATTGAGAAAGGCACAAAACTTGCAGGGCTTCTCTGTAACTTTCTGCTTTACTGAAGTAGAAGGAGACTCAGTTAGAAGGAAACTTAACTCCAAACTCTTGAGGTCATCAGTGCAGAGGGAGCTGCATCCAGAACCCAGCAGTCAGTGATCAAAGTTACTTTGCATCAGCCCTCTATGAACCTAAATGAGTCACTCCAAATTGGTGTGTATTGCACCAGATGAACTTGAGACTGGTCCTCAGAGAATGAAGATCTCCATAGTCGGGAATCACACCAGCATGAGTCAAGAGGTCTGTGTGGTAAACCAGAATGATTATAACTTCTGGCAAAATGGGACTCCAAATTGCTTCTTAAAGACCAGGGCAAATGCTTGGGACCTCAGGGCAGGAAAAACGATTTTTCAGGGAACTGCATAGTTTTGAAACCAGATTGTTGGTTTTTTTCCTCTCTGATTCCAAGTCCTCTTGCTCCTGTGTACACTATAGGTTGGACCAACAACTTCTGTTGCATTATATTACAGCGTGAGCAAGGTGCAAATTGGTGATAATCACGAGAAACTGGGAGCAAAGAGATACAGCAGTCTGTAGTGGCTTGATGTGGCTAACTGCTGTTGACCATTTCTCCCCTTCCCTACCCTAGCCTTGCTTCTATCCAAGAGCAGCCTTGGCTTTTTCTGTAGCCGCTCAGGAGATTACAAATACTCTAGGGAGAGAATAGGGAGCCTATTGTCTCCAAAAACATTTGACTTTCCAACTGGGTGGGCTGTTGGGTATATTACTAAGTTGGAGAGTTAAGCCTCTTGCAGCTAAACTGCAGCTCTGAAAATCACTAATGATCTTTCACAAACTGGTCAGGGAACTAAGTTTTTTTTCCAAGGCTTATTTATTTTTGAAGATAAAACCCCTATACACAGGCATACACTAGTAGTCAGCAACCAGTGTGATCTCTTAAGATCATGGTTTGACTGTCTCCTAATGCATGTGACTTCTTGGCCGTGTTCCTGTTCTCAGATGTGATGCTGTCACTTACACATATAAAGTGGCACAGCAGTCAGGGAGGTCATGCTTCTCCATTCACAGCATTACACAATGATAATTCCCAGCCATCCTTCCTCCAAGGTATCAGCTGTTAACAGGCAGTTTGGGTGAAGGAATGTCCATATATTATATCTTATAGTCCCCATCTAGAATCATGGTATGATCTGTGCTTCATTCTTTTGCTGTGGCCCAGGCCCAGCCACAGCCAATTTGGTTTCTAGGTTAAAATCAAGAAAGATTGAATTTTTTTCTTGCAGTAGCTTCACATACCTTCTCCATTGGTTGCCTCTGGTCACTGGAACAGTCTTCTACATACTGGAGTATAAATACTATCATTAGTCACATGTTGACTCACATTCCAGGTTTTAACGTCAATAACGTGGTGATGGCGTTCTCACAATGCAGGTAAGAGTTACATTACCAGTTGATGGTTAAAGCCCTTTCAACATCGAGAGGTGTAGTAATGCACATTTGATCAGAAATTCCAGTGTTTTGCTGGTGTCCTGTGCTCAGGAAAGAGTCTGAGAACTTCGGATATATGAAGGTGACTCCACTTTTGGGAAACTGCTGTTTCAATATTAGTTGATGTCATAAGCAAAAAAACTATAGAGTCCAGATCTGGAATTAAATCTGTAATATTTGTAATTAGAGTTGGACAGCCTAAAATAATTTCTATAAGGAGTTACTTTGGGTAACACACACTAAAAGATCAGTCAGATTTAATGACTTTTTCATCAATTCTAAGCAAAACAGGGGTATTGAAAATTGAAGTTCAGTTGTGTTGGAAAGGTTAGATGACATAGAGTAGGTATTCTGTAGCAAGTAATGACATGTGGAAATATTTCATCTTATACCAGAAGTTGTCTGAATCTGGTAATTATTTTTGCAGTTCACTGCAAATTCAGACTACTTCTACGGCCTCCCAGAGTTTCTCTGTTTTATATTTATGGTAATATGTTAATGAATTTTTCACTTACAAGTTTCAGAGTGTTTACATTAGGTTTTTTTTAAGTGACAGTTAGCACAGATTATATAATTCCAGTTGCCTCCTAACTTTTGAACTGCTGTGAGATGACAAATGAATCTGTAGTGAATTCCATACCATTAAAAAAAAAAAGTATTTCTCCTTTTCTGCAGCCAATAGGTAAGCCCCTGGATAGCAGTGCCTAAGGAGAATAGCAATGCTTAAGGACAGGAGCAAGTAAAAAGGTCTCAGAGACAATACTTCAATGACATTGCCTTTTTTATGAGACTGCAATTTCAGCTGTCCTACCATAGTTAAAAAGAATTATAAAAGTTAGAAATAAAATTAAGATAGAATTCAATTAGTGGTTTGCCTAATTAATCTTCAGAGTTAAATTTCTTTCTTCTCTTACCATGTATGTGTATCTTTTGCACTGATATAACCTATTTTCTGGAGGAGTGGAGATCTAAACAGTAGAGGTTGGTGCTCAAATGTCAGCTGAGTGTTTAAGACAAACTTTTAGAATGACTGTCCGGGAGAACTGGAACAATGTGGTATCAGTAGCTTCAAAGAAAACAACCCCTGGTAGCACCTGGCTGGTTTTGCAGTACATGGTCCTGGGAGAAAACATGGAAAAGGTTTGTTCCACTGCAGTAGCTGTAAAGGTCAGGGAAAAAAGGAAAATCTCTGCTGTAGCAGACACGGATCTGGAAACTCTTTCTATATGATGCATAGTTGTATGAAGATAGTTTTGAAATGGCTCTTTATCTTGCTAGGGGATTAGAAAGAAAGAAATCACAATCATCTGTTGCTGTTATGGGAAAGGAGAGAAGGAGGCAGCTTTTCATTGCAAACTGCAAGTGTAGGACTTCAGCTGAGCCCTGGAGCTCTAAGGAGCTGAGGCTGTGAGCTCAGGAGCAAACTGCCCCAGGGTAAATTTTAGATTCCTTGTTTCATATCAGGTGGCCCAGAGCACCTGTCTACAGACACCCACTTGCTAGTGTGAGGAAGCAGCATGGCCTTTTTCCCCATGGGGTAAGTTGTGTTGAATAAGTTTACATTTACCACAGGGTCAACATGGTGCATGTGCACTGGCATGTAACACAGTGGGAGCTGATGCATGGTAAGCAAGGACTTTGTTCATGTGAAAATCCAGAATGTAATTCATTAGTGCATCTGCTGAGATAGTGCCTCACTCTGGAGACACTGAGCATGTGTGATTCCACAGCAGGGTCAGAGATGCTGGCCTAGAGGCACTTTGGTGCTGAACAGATGACCTCTGACTTAGGCTCTGAGGTCTTTAAACTCGCTAGTTTAGTGCTGTAGCTGCTGCATTCCTGTGAGAAACAAGAAGTAGGACTAGGACTTCTCTCCCTCAGCTTCATCATTGACTTGGTGTTTTTTGCCTTGGACAACTCTCCTAGGCATTGTTTTGTTCCAATTTACAGATGGGAATAGACCTGCTTACCTCATGGGAATGGTGTGAGGCTGCCCTTCATTAGTGCCTGCAAGCAGCTGTGAGATTCTTTGGAGGAAGGTGCAATGTAGAAAGAAGTGCGCAGAAGTAGATTGGATAAGTTTAAAAATGATGGGTGTTGAGGCCCCACAGAGATGCAAATTTGGCTGAAATTTAACCAAAGTGGTAAAACTTAAATCTCTCTAAATTTTGTACAGTGAGGTATTCGCTTAATGTCTGATCCAGTTCCCAGTTAAAAGGAAAGATTTCAATGGGAGTTGGACCAAACCCTTAAGTATCTCAGAGGGCTTTTGCTAATTTTTTTTATTGCTGTTGTTATTATTTGTTATTCTTAAGGTACTGAGATCAAATGGCCTGTATCATCCACATGCATCCGTTCTGAACACTACAATGCAATGCTGACATTGACTGTATTGGATGAGTGTTTGTTACTCTGAAGTGTGTATGCTACTAAATAAATGAGACTGAAGGAAAAAAAGACATCTGCTGTGATTTGGTCATGTGAGAATAATATCTTTTCTTCAAGAATTTCCTTAGGGAAGGGAAAAACCTATTTCAGTGTTTCTTTTGCTTTTAGTCTTTAGCATCTGGTACTTCATAAAGCAAAATCAGTTCTAAGACATCTAGAAACCAAATGGTGGAGCTTAATTCCAAAACCTATTGTATATGTTACCTTTAGAACCTGATTCACACAAAGCTTGTCAGCTTCCTTCAAGGTAAACTCTGTCTCAGAAATCTTAGTGGCTAGCCTACAGCACATAAAAAAAAAGGAGCATCAAGAGGCACTTGTCAGACTCAGAGCACTTAACTGTTCCCCTGGGCAGTTTTGTGTGGACATGGGGAAGAAGCACTCAACACTCTAGGACTGGCAGCACTTCTCAGCAAGAGAGAGAGAGTGTATTCTTACCACAGAGATTGTGCAAAGAGTACTTATAAGAGAGGGAAACAAATAACCACCGTTAGGGTCTCTTTATTTTGTGTTGCAAATATAGAAGTATACACTTGTCTAGCTTTAAATTGCATAGGAGCAGGTGTGTCATCTACTTACATACCGTAGTCACCCAGGAAGGTGAGTTGGCAGAAGTGCTGCCGTGGTCAGAGGTAATGACAAATCAAAACTTATTCACATGACTTTTCCATTTGTATAGTGTGATGGGAAGATTTTAGGCATGGTGTCACTAAGGTCTCTGCATGGGATTGAGAAGAGTGGACAGCCAGGAGAGAGCACAGCCAGAGAACTACAGGTGAAACTGTCTCACACAGCTCAAGGGTCTAAGGAAGTGTGGTCCCTTTCTGACACGGCTGTAGATGTAAATACAGTGGGGGAGAAGTATTCCTAGCAGCATTTTCTTCTCTTTCAGGAAAGTTGGGAGAGTGTTTTGAAGGTGAAGTTACACTTGCAAAAGCCCACACCTACTTTATCAGCCTTGGAAAGCTTTCTTAGTGCACACCAGCAAATTAACTGAGAACTACTTAGCTCAGGAAAAGGGTTGATATGAGGGAGGGCACCTTAAATCTGTGAAATTAAAAATTCTGTTTGTTCAAAGGAAAATATGAAGATGCAGAGCATTTATATTGAGGAGAGCAAGGATTACAAAGAAATGAGAAGCAGGACTATCAACAAATGTGAAAAAGCAGAGAAAGACAAATTGAAATTTCCATTATTGTTTCGTCTTTTGTTAATCAGTCCCTTCTTTAAAATGTAAGTATGAGGTTATATGAAGCAACATAAAGTATTAGTGCTAAACAGTCAAAAAACAACTATATACATACAATTACAAAACCAATTTGGCCATGTTAAAAGACAGACACCTATCAGGAAGAGCAATTTACAACAACCATATAAATGGCTGATTCTGTAGTAGGGAAGTGGTGGAAGATTTTTCACATGGATTATAGGACCAAATTAATCCCAGATCTCCAGCTCTTGTCATTCCTCTAGGAAACAAAATTGGGTTTTGGCTTCCAGTTGCCAAAGTAATCTAATTTTGATGCTATGAATTTAACTCATTCGTGATGCACTAAAAATGTCTCCTTAAAAAGCAATTTCACGCAAGTTGTATTTTGCAATGCGAGCGGTTGAGCACTATGAAATTTGGTTGTACAAACAATAAGTTTCAGCCTCAGAACTGAAGGACTAAAGATTGTAGTGCGTATCACTGCAATTGTTATTTTTTCTTTTGACATAAAATGGTTTGTACAGCATGTAGCATTCAACATCACAATAGGAGCAATATTATTTTCTCCAGGATATTAATTAAAAATTCATTATCTGTGAGGTTTTTAAATAGCATCTAAAAAAAGATTGTTACAGGTCAATGATTCATGGCAATACACTGACAGAAGATCATTCCAGTTGAGAGTTAAGAGCCTGTACAAAATCTGGTTGCTAATACAGATTCTTTTAAAATTCTCAGCTTTCTTTTAATGCCCATTTGGTACCTGCATCTCCATGTCTTGTCTTGTTAGAAGAGACTGCATCTGGCTCAGTACAGCCCTGAGCTAAATGCTGTTGTAAACCGTCAGAGTCTGTTAGAAATAAATAATAAGTATATGTTTACAGTTGCTCTTCAACACCCCACTCTTGATCACTCTTAGGGATAAGATCCTGGTCAGGATAGAATTCTGTTCAGTCTCAGTGCAGCTTTGTCTGTGTGCTTCCTGTAAATGAGTACCTTGATGCAGCTATTGAGTAAAAGCAGGTATTTGTCCAATGTGCAGGACTTGCACTTTGTTTGTAAAGTGAAGGCATAGCTGCAGCCACGACTGCCCGTGGCACTGGTAACAGATCTGTGCTGTCCTCCCACTTTATTTTTCAGTTGCTTTCCTGGTGTTACCACTACTGGCCTTTCTAAATTCGTGAATTTTGTTAAGGCAAATGCTACAACAGGGGGAAACCAAGTCACAACTGCTGGAAAGTTTGATAGGTCACCTTTGGGGGAGAAAAAGCTACTAATGCATGAACCATAAAAGTAATACAATCTGAAAGGTAAGGACAAACTGATGAAATTCCAGTTGGCTAAAAGCAAATGCATTTATTTTTGACCATCATGGTCCAGAGGTGGCCAATCTGAAATATAACCAAAAATGTCAGCCTTTGCAAGAGAAAAGAATGAGAAAGTTTCCTGCTAAATGGGCTTTTCTGCTCATCTGACTGGGCTGTAGGAACTCCTGAATGTAAGACAGGACAGGCAATGAACTTATGTGAGAGAAGCTAGAGAACCAAAGTAAAGGTGAAATGGGAAAAAAGGCAATGAGGCAAGGTCATCCATCTCCTTGGTCACTAAACCCATCAGTCTCCACACTTCTACTGAAATCTGCCCCACATAGACGGTCATTTTACGACACAATGGATTTGGAATTATTTCCACGCCACATGGGTCTTTGCTGAAAGGTGTCCATCATCACCCTTTGTGTCTGGATGTCCTAGAAGGATTGGTGTAAGAAGGGACCTCCAAAGATCATCTAGTCCAACCTCCCTGCTCAAGGGAGTTGCTCAAGGGAGTTGACCTACAGCAGGTTGCACAGGATCATGTATAGGTGGATTTTGAGTGTCTCTGGAGCAGGAGACTACACAGTCTCTCTGGGCTACCTTTTTTCAGTGCTCTGTCATCCTCAAAGTAAACAAGTTTTTTTTTCTCATACTCAGGAAATGTCCTTTGTTTCAGTTTGTGCCTGTTGCTGGTTACCACTGAAATGAGTCTGCTCCCATCCTCTTGACACCTGCTCTTAAGACATTGCTCTGAAATGACATTGTATAAAACTGTCCATTCTTAAGTCAAAGACCTTAAACTATACAAAGCATGGAACAAAGTCAGACCAATAAAGCATAAACCTGTGCTGAAGATGCCTTTCTCTGAGGATGGATTCAGACTCTTCACTCTGTGCTTTTCTTTACCACAGCTCAGTAGTGTCCACCCTGACTGCTGTAAAGGACAGGAAATCTGTGTGGTCAAAACAAACCCTTGCCTGCTAGCCCACACCTTCAGACTGTACATGCAGCTGATCACTAAGTATAAAGCATATACCAGAGAACCTCTTGCTTCAGAAAGGAACCAGAGAAGTCTGCAACTGGCATTTTGCCTTTCAACTTGATTACATGTAATTTGACACAGTAGGTTGGCAGTGTGACATTCAGGAGTGATACAATGGCAGAATGCTTCCAAGACTGTTCCGACTTAATCCAAATTATTTGCCTTTTCAGTCTCCTTATTTTGCAGCTTTAATCCATAAACATCCATTTAGATCCTAAACAACTGAAGAAAGCCTTAGAAATGAGCTGTCTTGGAAACAAATGACTACCTTTATCAGCAAGTCTGCACTTGCAAAGCAAGGAACAATTACTACCTGCTCAGCTGTGTGAAGCCAAGTCATGGTTTTAGCTTTCTCAAATGGTTGAGCTATTCTACTTTCCTGTAAAAAGAATACACTAAGTGGGGTTTGCATTAGATTTCCTGTCACTATTCCTCTCGTTTGCATTACTTTCTACCTCAGAGTATTAAAACCAAGAGCTCCAGCATCCCAAATGCTAGGTACTTACCCAAGAACCTCAGCTAAGTGCTTACCAACACAGCACAGGGAATTAATGCTGAATATCAAAGTACTTACAAAAATGAACTTAATTTTAAGTAAAGTCCATTAAAAGATAAAGATAGTCCATTTCTCATCATGCCATGCCGCTCACCCTTCCTTGAAAAACCACCTTCAATGCCAGGAGCTGTGAGGAAAGCAACACCATGAGGTGAGCAGCACATTTGCTTCACTACTCAAAGGAATACTATCAGCTCCACCAGCTTCTGCTTTTTAATGGTAAATGTTTTCCTCTTCATTGCTTGTTTACAAAGCACATGCTCAGAGGAGCCTGATTTTTTTTTCATTTTTCCTACTGCTTCCAATTTGAGTAATAGCTTCCACAAGGTCTACTAATAAAACAGATGCAAATGGCTGCTATTTTTTTTTACTTCCCTTATAGTGCATAAGCATTAGTAATTCACCAGGACTGTAAAAAGCTCTCAGCAATGTAGAAGCCTTTGCAAGTTGGTTGCTGCTGGCACAGCACACATTTTTGGATTCTTGGTTCAGAAAGAAGCACAACCTGTGTTTGTCGTTGTTTCCATCCAAATACTGCAGCTGGATGGTAAGTCCATTTCTTTTCACCTGAGCAGATTGAAAAGTTCTTTCCTTAGGAGCTGTATTCTGAATCAGACAAACAGTGCCATTGTTCTCCACTTCTAAGCTGGTTCAGTGGAACACATTTGAAGGACAGAGATAAAAATGCAAGAGTCTTTAACAATCTCGGATCCAGCAAGTAGGCAGAGGAAGCAGAACATTGCTGATGTTGAAACTTCACCCTTCTGATGGAGCTAAAGTGGAGGAAGTAAATGAAATAGGAAGCAATCCTTCCAGACACACACATTCCCTGATCTTTGGAAGAACCGTTTCTACTATACAGGAGTAACACTCAGG